GCTGCTACTCCTGCCCTTTCATCTGCCAAAGAAGGAAAACTGCTATTTCTCAGACAGCAGGTTGAAAAATACACTGCTACTAGTGTGCAAGAAGGCACCATTGACAACCTTTCCACAGGACTCTTCCAGATGCTGTTAACCTTCCACCACCAGAAAAATCAGTCACCCATTTAACAGAAGAGAAAGCCAGAAACAGAAAGACTAAGTGATTGCTGAAGAAGAGACACTTAACTGACAGATGGGCTTTCTTTTTGTTCCATGTCCCCTCTCTCTGCTGATGAGATTGACTCAAGCTAGCTTTATAAATGTTTCAATGAATCTTATCTTCATGCGTTGGATTAGCGAGACCAATTCCCCACTGATAATGCAAAATAACTTTGAAATGGTTCTTGCCTCTCTGATAAGTCAGAAATTGAACCTCTCCTCTCCATTTGGACTGTGAAGATCTGATCTTTCACCTCTAGCAAAAAAGAAAAAATAAAAAACCTCATTGCTGTACCTTTAAAGTTAGTAATGAGTGCTTCATTTGCTTTCCAAGCAGATCGAAAATCTTTTTAAAATACACTCAGATGCCATGACCTTCATCTATGACTTAAAGAGTTCACCACATGTGTAAAAACTTTCTGTGCTCAGGAGATTCTTAAATTTTCTTTGAAAGAGATATGGGCACCAACCCTGCTGATGACACTAAACACACACAACACACACACACACACACACACACACACACACACACACACACACACACACACACACACACACACACACACACACAACATTACTTGTTATATTCCTTCTATACCGAGAATCAACTGTTTGTTTAAAATCTATTTGGATGTATAAAAGGGTTCTGAAGTCCTTCAACCTGATGAATAGAATATAATTAAAATGCCAGCCTTGTTTATATTTCTATCAAAAGCAGCACAGCATCTTAAACCAATACTAGGCAAGACAACAACCTAACTGCCTCTGAATAGCAAACAATCCAAACAAATCCTAACTGGGTGGAACTCAATCCACATGAACTGTTTTCTTTCTTTCTTTCTTTCTTTTTTTTTTGGGTCCGGTTGTGGGGCCTGAACTCTGGGCCTGGGCGCTGTCCCTCAGCTCTTCAGCTCAAGGCGAGCGCTCTACCACTTCGAGCCACAGCACCACTTCCGGCTTTTATCTTTTTGCTTATGTGGTGCTGAGGAATCGAACCCAGGGCCTCTGGCTTGCAAGGCAAGCGCTCTACCACTGAGCCACCTTCCCAGCCCTGTTTTCTTTCTTTCTACATTAAAATAGGAAAATAATAATTTAAGGATTCAAGTCAATCTAAAATGATTTCATTCTATTGTTCCTATTTTTTCTAACATAAAATAGAGTCTCTGACTAGTGTAATATCACACTAAAAGTAAATTTTTGAAAGAAGTAATCTCCAGCACAAATTGCCAGTACTTAGAAAACAATACGGGCATCTTAGCAGCTCAATATTTTGGAACTGAAGGAGACACGAGCACCTCAGAAGCCAAGTTTCTATCCTTCTGACACCATTCCTCTGGCCCTCTGAGAAGGTCATAAATTAAAAAGGCCACTCCCTAATCTTTTCCCTTGTTAGAGCCTCTTGTGAGCTATGTGTGGCATTGCACATCTGGGAGTAAAGGAGGAGAAATGTCTCACAGAGACACAGAAATAATCTGAACAAGTAGTCATCGCTAAATCCATTGTCTCCTTTTGCCCTTCCCTCAGCCCCACCAGTTTATAGCATTCGTCAGATTCCTGTCTGTCACATCACATTTCTCCATAACTATAACTATATACTTCTTGCTGTAGATTTAGAGAATAAGCATACTTTTTCAGGATCTTTCAAGTCTTCATTTGTGAAGTTTCCCATGCCATGGGAAGCTTTGTTCATCTATTTTCTGTCATTAGGGGTAACAGCCATTTGGTGAGGAAAAGATGACCTCTCTCCTCCGTACGAGATCTTACTGTCTATTCACTATGGCAGAGAACAATGCCTTAAGTGGTTGTTAACTGGTTACATAGCATGTTCTAGTCTTACATTCAGACGCTAAGCACAGGGGTTTACAATTTTCAATGTGCATACATGTCTAACATAGCACTTGTAGATATACTGGATTTCGTAACTTTTAAAAAGAAAGAGAATCTCAAGTCTCACCCAGCAGACATTCTCATTCAGTATTCATTTACATCTGTATAAAGGACTTAATTTTTTTCCCCTCAGTATCGGGTAATGCTCATGCAGGCAATCTATGGAGTAGATTTTGAAAAGGAGGAAAAAAATGTACAACCAAGAAAACCTATACAACATAATTATAATCTGTACACTGCCATTATACTAAAGGTGCCACTCACCAGGCTTTGCCTTAACCACAGACAACAGAGTTTAGCGTAACTATCACGCCCAGCTCTGACTTACCTGACCTGCTCTTGCTTTTATCTATTAAGATCCTTACTGCTTCTCTGTTTTGCTTCAGAAATATGAAGTCAGCAATTTTTTATCTTTATTCCTCTCCTATTTGTTTTGGTCGTAGGTGCTAATTGGACAAAGGCATATAGTTTTGCCACTTTATCAAGAGTCAAGACATTTTGCTCACTTCATATTTTTAGAGAATGGCTTTTAGCTGAAGGATTCTCTTTTCCAGGTTGCAAAAGGATGAAAGATTAAGGTAAAAGGAGACAGTGCATCTTTTCCCACACCGCATTATTCCTCCTTTTTCACTAAACGCTAGCTTGAGACAGAAATAAATCACAAGAATATGAAAACACATAACTCTCTCTCTCTCTCTCCAAACATAGAGGAATAATTTCCCAGTTTCTCAATAGAAGAAATTTATTTTATTAAAGAAATCCCTAGGGTAGTTACTGTATGGCATAAGTAGCTTAGATTTAAATGGAATGGTTTTCTTAGCAGGTTTCATAGGTTTAAAATCTTGGCAAGTCTTTTGAGGGGGGAAAATAATTTTTTCATCACAGAACTTTATATTTGTAGAAGATATCTAAATGAAATAAACATACATGATTTCAAACAATGAATAAATAAGTATTTAACCTATGTCTCCCACGTTAAAATACAGATATATACAATATATAACACTTCTATCTACTTATGTTTGGCAATGAAATTAATTCTCCATCTTGATTATATTTTTATTATTTAAAAAAGGAACCACACACATACACAACACACACACACACACAGACTATCCCTATCAGTTGAACTGTGTCAACAGCATACTCATAATTATGTAGTTTTAATTTTTTTCATTGAAAATATTGGAATAATAACTACCAAAAAAAGAGCTTAACCATGCTTCCAGTACTTAAATAAAGACTGCTTAAAATGTAAATGTCACAAAATAGGCCTGTCAGTTTTGCAGTATAATTTAATTTAATCTACTTTAAATGTCTAAAGGACATACTGGCATATTTTTATATATAAATGGTATCCCCATACACTGAGTTCTCTCTGCTACTAACACTTATTAGTAATTCTAGCTGGTTCTTGGAAACAAAAATAATAAGTTATAAAAAAAGAAATCGTGTGTGTGGAGGGTACTGGGTTCTGGTGTTTTTCCTAGTTAATTGGAGATATGATTCTTGGACATTTTTCTGCCCAGACTGGCTGCAAACACAACTGTGATCTTCAGATCTCAGCCTCCTGAGTATTAGATTACAGGCATGAGCCACCAGCGCCTGCTCACAAAGCACTTTTTAACTTGAACTTGCAAAGATTATTTCTTGCAAAAGTGCAAGTCACAAGGTAAAATGGATGCAATTACTCTTCATTTCATGACAGAATATTTCAAAAATCAATTCTTTTTATTGGCAATTATTTTACTGGGTAATTTCTTTGAATCCATCTAAGGCACCTGGCCTAAATTCTGTTTTTTAAGGCTATTGTCTCATGCCATTCAACAAAAATGTACCTTTTCCTCCCAATTTACTTTATTATAATTGCTTTAAGAATTGAGAAATGGGGGCTGGGAAGGTGGCTCAGTGGTAGAGCACTTGCCTTGCATGCTCGAAGCCCTGGGTTCGATTCCTCAGCACCACATAAGAAAAAAGCCAGACATGGCGCTGTGGCTCAAGTGGTAGAGCGCTAGCCTTGGGCTGAAGAGCTGAGGGACAGCGCCCAGGCCCAGAGTTCAGGCCCCACGACCGGACCCAAAAAAAAAAAAAAAAAATTGAGAAATGGAGGGGCTAGGAAGGTGGCTCAGCAGTACAGCGCTTGCCTTGCATGCATGAGGCCCTGGGTTCAATTCTTCAGCACCACATAAGCAAAAAGAAAAAAGCCAGAAGTGGCGCTGTGGCTCAAGTGGTAGAGCGCTAGCCTTGAGCTGAAGAGCTGAGGGACAGTGCCCAGGCCCAGAGTTCAGACCCCACGACCGGACCTCAAAAAAAAAAAGAATTGAGAAATGGAGAAGGTATCTATGGGTCTTGTGTTAAAAAAAAAAAAACCTCTTTCCTTGGACTTTGCTGTTCTTTTGTCTCCCAATTTCCAGAGGCAGAAAAATCTCAGTGGGCACTGGAGGCTCACACCTGTAATCTTAGCTACTCAGGAGGCTAAGATTAAAGGATCACTGCCCAAAGCCTGCTAAGGCAGGAAAAACCATGAGACTCTTACCTCCCATTAACCAGCAAAAACCTGGAAGTGACGTGGTAGAGCATCAGCCTTGAGCAAAAAAAGCCAGGAGATAGTGCACAGGCCTGAGTTCAAGCTCTAGTACCAGTATCAAGAGAGAGAGACAGAGAGAAAGAGAGAATCACCAACTCTACTTCATTTATTTCTCTTGCTTTTCTCTTTGAAAATCTAAATTCCACTCATCATCATCCTAATTCATGAGCAATCTTGTATAGAAATGCAGTGAGTTCTTTAGTAAGCTGCTGGGATTATGGTTTTCCACAGCCCAACTCCTTTAGGTTCAAAATGTAGTTTTGAGCAAAATAAAAACCCAGAGTGTACTTTACATTTAAAGCAGGTTAGCCCCATGACTCACCTCATTTCCACCAACCGCCTTGGTTAAAATCACTGCAGAAGACACTGGGGGAGGCATGCAACCTACTGTCTGCAAACTGAAAAATAAAAGAAAATCCAATGGTAAATAGTGTTTTCCCCCCATTATACATAGGTCTCACTACATTCATTCTAAAATAGTGGGGTTGAGGTAGGAGAATGTTTGTTGATGTAGTTTCCACTGAGACTAGACAATTTTGTGTGAAGCAACATGGCATAGAATTATATGGCAAGGGTACAGGATCTGAGCTCTCATTAGAGTCCATAGAGGTGGGTGGCTATATCTCTGAATATTCTGATGCTCTAATGATGCAATTCAAAAAACAGTAACAATAACAAGAGAAAGCCAGGACTGGAGATACAGCTAATGGTAGAAACACCAGTCCAATAAGCATAAGACCCTGAGTTTAAAAAAGAAAAGAAAGACAAGTTCTAGGGTGTACAGTCTTTAATAATTTAAGTATATATAGTCTTAGGTTACTTTCAAGTAAAATAAAAATCTTCCTCATAAGCAAAAGACAAGGAGATAGTAGGACATGCCTGTAGTCTAAGGTACTTGGAAGATGAAGGTAAGAGACATATCCGTTTAGGAAGGGTGTGCTACCTAGTAACACCTAAATACATAAACAGAGAAACTTTCCTTACTTCCTTATAATTGTGAAAGAAAGTCTTTTGATAAAAGTAAAGTAGGTGCTGGGAGCACACACCTGTAATCCTAATTACTCAGGAAGCTGAGCTCTGTGGACTGTGGTTCGAAGTCAACCTGGACAGGAAAGTCTATGAGACTATTATCTCTGATTAAGCACCAAAAAGACAAAGGTGGAGATATTGCTCAAGTGCTAGCCTTAAGCAAATAAAAAGTTCAAGGACAGCATCCAGGCCATGAGTTTAAGTCCCAAGACTGGCAAAAAAAAAGAAAAAAGAAAAAAAACTATAAACTGCATCCACAGTTCAAAAATACTTAACAAAACATAAACTTGTATTTTCATTTCTTTCTATGAAACAGCAATTATCAAACTTTCATATCAAAGTATAACCTTATTATAGAAATAAGCATGACATAATCATACACTTCTCAGGCTCAGACACTGGTGAATTCCAGCATCCATTCTAAGTTTTTATTACATTATTAACTTTATATTCCCAAGATCATTAATTTAGGGTAGAAAATAAACTGTATGTCAAACAAATGAAGCAAAGAATAGTCATCTAAGTTCTGAAATTAAAAGCACATTATTCAGAATTCGCAGAGAGCAATCAAGTAACTAGCCTGAGTACCAAGCGTACAGTGTTAGACTGAAATTCTGAATGGTTACAGAGAGGTTTCATTCTAAGTTCTTGTCTAAGCTTAGGGAAGAAAGGTTTTCATCCATCTTGATTCAAACAAAAAAAAACACTTTATGCAATTTCCGCCTCGCTCAGTTCAGTATATTGGTATTATTATGGTGGGAGTTGTTGTTACAGACTCGCTACATTGCACAGGATGGCCTTGGACTTTCAGGCTCAAGTGATTCTCCTGCCTCAGCCTTTGGAAGAGCTGGGACTACCAGGACCCAAGTACACCCAGCTGGGGCTTCTTCAGTGGTCTATTTCCCTAAATGAGGCTAAACGAGTCTGTGTAATAGCAATCTCTGACCTTCCTTTGGGGCTGCCAGGATCTTCACCAACTAATGGTGAGCACCAACCATTTGTAGTTCACCTTACACAACACCTCACGTGCTCCTTACAAGTTGGTGAAATAAGTATGACTGTCATTCTCATGGTAATGAAAAACTGAAGTTAAGAGAAAAGGTCAGTTCACTTGTCCATTAACTTTTATTCTGGCATCCAAGATCAAGGATTTACTTAACACACAGCCTCCTGGGGCCTCTCTGCCTTCTGTGTCCCCTGCCACCAAATCTAGAGACAGGTCCCCTCAGGTTCCTCCAAACCTTTCCAACTTGTTGAATCTTTTTCTCCCTCTCAGCCCTTTCCTTTCAAGTAGCAAGAATAATAATTCTGCCCATCTTTCTAAAAAGCTCCAAAGGCATGTCCTTTCTCCCTAAGGAGACTCTCTCCCTAAGAGACTCTCTAAGGGAATAGGGAAAAGCCTAAGACAACCCTTACTCTTGCCTTTGGAGATGCAATACACAAACTGAGATAACAGCAACACTGGTACTGTTGCTTTAAGATCCCCTCCCACACTCTTCCTTACATTTCATGGTTGACTTTCTTTAAGGAGCGTGCTACCTCTGTGGCACACAACACACTCTTCTGGAATTAGATTTCTGCCCCTACTACCAATATAAAAAACAGTGATCATAAAGATGGTCCGTGGCCACTTTAAGCACAAGCATAAATTAGGATGGCTAATTCAAGGCCAGCCAATCTCCTTTCTTCCATATTCATTTGGACTCATATTCTCCTTTCTCATTTCTTTCTTCATTGCTTTCTTCTACATTTCAGCCGGTTCTTTATCTCTTATCTTTTAAACCAGCTTATTCTGTTTTTCAGTTATTTTTGTGGCATTCTTTGCAATCTTAAAATATTTTAATCTGTAGGAATACTTCCAAATTTCCATTCTAGTCCTAACTATTATCCACAAGTTTATAGGCTACTCTCTCAAACTAAACATATCTTCTGCTCAATTTATATATTTTTTAAAGTTTTATGGAGGTATAACCGACAAAAAGTAAGTATGTTTAGGTTTGGTTTGTTTTGAAGCGTGGAGGGCCTCACCTTGAACATGCTATTTAATTCACGCTGGCCTGGAATTCACCATTTCTCCAACCTTGGCTTCCCAAGAGCTAAGATTATAGGCATGCCCCACCACACCTGGCTCCATATGGTGTTTTAATGAGTGTTTACACTGTGAAATGATTGCTATAATCAAGCTAAATAACATATCTGCCACCTCTCTCAGTTCTCTGTGTGTGTGAGAATATTTACCCTCTTTCTTAGAAAATCTGAAGTAGGTATTACATTGTTTTTATTTATAATCCCTATGCCATTCAAAAGAATGAATTTCTCTCTTTCAGATCATGTTTCTTCTCTAAACTCTCCAGAGGAACTAAGTTTCACCTAATAATCCAGTGTGAGACTTTAGAGTTCTAGATGTCTCCGCTTGATCTTCATAAATTCACCCTTCACGTTCTTTCCTCTGCCCTCCCTTAGCAGACGGTTTTTACTCATGTCTAGACAGTCACAAGTGTGCTGAATGAGCTCACCTCCATGCTGTCTACAGCAATGTGGGGGCAGGGGAACTTGTGCTCGGAATACTTTTATTTCAACACGATTCTGAGAGAAGGGTTTGCAACTTCCTCAAGTTAACTTTGTAGTGTGTACTCTGAGACTGTGGAGGGGGTGGGGAAAACAAAGCAAGCAGGAAAGAGCTCTCTCTAAATGAGGCAAGAGGCATGTATATGCCTTTAGGCATAACCTCCCAAGATGAGAACTACATGCTTGCTTTATTTAGTATATAGACATCGCAAGTGCTGTACTTCTCATAAAATGCTAGTACAATGCTATCATCTTGATCTTCCTACCTTCCTTCTTTCCGTCCTTCTTTCTTTCCTCTCCCTCCTTCCTTTTTTCTTCCTCCTTCTTGGTTTTTTTCTTTGCTTTCCTCCTCTCATCCCCTCCCCTGAACTCTCCTTCCTTCTCTACCTCCCTTCCTTCTTCCTTCCATTCCCTTCTTCAGATTTTGTTTGGTTTTGAGATGAAGTCTCACCATGCAGCCCAAGTGGACCTCAAGCTCAGACTCTCCCTGCCTCAGCCTCCTGAGTGCCAGGCTCACTTCCAAATGTGTTCCACCTCGCTTGGCTCTCAAAGTAATGGGATTACAAGTGAGTGCCACCATGTCTGGTATATGGTAACGTTTTTAATGATGGAAAATAAACTCTCCCATCAATTCAACTAGTAGATAAAATGTAAAACAAGTGAAAATATAAACACTCATCCCACACATATAATTTTCTTACCCACTTAAATATGTATGTATATATACACATATATATATATATATATATATATATATATTCTACTCAGACATTATCAGCACACAGTTGATAAAATGCATTTGGCAAAGGTAAGGCAATCAAGTTAATCTACATTGCCATGGATATAGGCCTTCCATTTTCCAGTCTCTTCTAATTTTCTCCCAAGACTACTCGAAATTTCCCAGAAAAATGTGCATCCTAGTACCTTAAGATTAAGCATGGGGATGTGTACCAAGATTCTGTTAAACAATTCTGTATCAATATTTTTGTGTTCTTGCAGACACTGTTGTCTTAAAGCATAATGTTAAGTATTTTTCTTTCCCTGTAAGATGGCATAGACAAAAGTCCTTTGGCATATAGTTGCCATAGAAACAGTGTCACTAAAAATGTCCAGTTAAAAGATTCAAACATACCCTTTTAACAGCCATTCATTGATGGTTGTGATTGATAAAATCTGAAGAAAGAGCCATATCGTTGCTGGGAAGAATGCAAGCGTAAAGATCTGAATAAAGAGATGTAGTTTTAAATGCACCAAAGCACTCGTCAGCTCCTGGAAAAATGAAGGCACAAAAAGGTAAGAAAAGGATGTCTGAACAAAGATTTCCACTAAAGTAAGTTTATTTGAGTTATTTCATTATTCAAATCTTTATAAGCTTATATAAAAAAAAGCCAAGCTTTAAGTAAACAATATGCTCTAATAATTCAGATTTAGAAAATTCTGTGTGTGGCACAGGTAACATTTTTTTTTTTGGGTCCGGTCATGGGGCCTGAACTCTGGGCCTGGGCACTGTCCCTCAGCTCTTCAGCTCAAGGCTAGCACTCTACCACTTGAGCCACAGCACCACTTCCAGCTTTTTTCTTTTTGCTTATGTGGTGCTGAGGAATCGAACCCAGGGCCTCTGGCATGCAAGGCAAGCGCCCTACCACTGAGCCACCTTCCCAGCCCCCACAGGTAACATTTTTAATGACAAAAAAGATTTTCATAAAATCTACAGCCAGTTCAACTATTACATCAAACATAAAACAAGTGAAAATATATATTTGTCCCACATATATACTTTTATCTCACCCATTTAAAAATATATATTCCACTCAGGCATGATCTGTACCCATTGAATAAGATACAACACAGTTAGTATAAGCTATCTTTACATTAGTGTAGATTTGAAAATAACATTAAAACAAAACATGTTTAAATACAGAAAAAAAAACCTTTAAAACAAATAAAACTATCTTACCAGCAGTTACTACATTTTAATTAAATATAGACATCTTTACTCATTCTACTAAATGAATAAAGGCGTTAACTGGGCAAGATGTTATTGAAATTTGTAAGAGAGTTTTCCTTCATAATAGTCTGTGTATTCATTGCATTTCTCCACTGGAGTAACCAGTGTATGCTGGGATCCGAGCCTGTCCCTTTACAATCTTAGTTAATCCTCATGAGGATCACATTAGATAAAAATCAGAACTTCTGAGTCACGAATGAGGACATTGAGGTTGGGCATTAGTACTCGATGAAGATCAGCAGCAAGCCTCTCCTGGAACCAGAAACCCCATATCTGCTCCCACAGTATCGCACAGCTGCCAGAGAGTGAGAAGAAATGCACATTCAGTAGAACAAGGCGAGTATTAGGAATCTCACAGCCTACAGGGAATAGTTAACCTCCAAGATTCTAATACAATATGAACTTACACATAGCATTTGAATTTGTGTTAGATGGAATAAAACAAATGTGGAAAGTAGTAGAAAAAGCATAGACCTTTTAAAAAAAAAAAAAAAAAAGCAAGCAATCATGGTAGCATAATCAAAGGTCCCAGAAACTCACAGTTTATAAATACAACTACAATGCCCATCCCTAGTCTCTAGTAAGATAAGACAATTAAGAATGTGTTTAACTAAGATTGGTAGAAGACTTCTACAATAAAAATTACAAAACCTTGAAGAAAGAAACAGAAGAACACACCAGAAGACATACAGCCCATGTTCACAGATTTGCAGAATTGACACTGTAAAAGTGGCTCCACTATGGAAAACAATCTGAAGATAAAAATGCCAATAGTATCCTTTAAAGTAGAAAACAATCAGTCCTAAAGTTCAGTCCTACAAGAAACACAAAAGACCTCAAATAGAAGAGGCAATCCTGAGCAAAACAAGAGACGGTGAAAAGTACAATACTTGACTTCAAACTATACTATACAGCCATATGGACAAAAACAGCATGGCAGTAGCACAAGACTAGACATACAGATGAATGGAAAAGAAGAGAAGACCCAAACATAAGCCCACACAGTTATAGTCAGATGACTTTTGACAAAGGTGCCAAAAACAAAGGTTGCAGAAAAAGAGTTTCTTGAGCAAATGGTTCTGGAAAAACTGGATATCCACATGTGAATACTGAGATTAGATTACTGTCTCCATCCTGTACTGAGATCATTTCAAAGTGGGTCAAAGGCCTTAAAGTAAAACCTAGAACTTTGAAACTACTACAGGAAAACTTCAGGAATTCAGCAATTCCTCAATAATTAATAATTCAGCAAATAAAAACAAGATCTGAAATATGAGATTGTATCAAACTAAAAAGTTTTGCCAACCAAACAGGCACTAGTATGAAGAGAAAGCTTACAAAAAAAATTGGCAGCTATTCATTTGGGATGAATATTCATGGGATTAATAACTAGCATAAACTGGGCATTAGTGGCTTATGTCTGTAATCCTTGACTCAGGAGGCTGAGATCTGGAGGATCATGGTTTGAACCCAGGCTGGGCAGAAGAAGAGTCTATGAGATTCTGTCTCCAAAATTACCAGTACAATGTAGAGCAAGATACCTCACTCAGCCAGGCACTGATGGCTCACACCTGTATTCCCAGCTACTCAGGAGGCTGAAATCTGATGATCACAGTTTGTTTTGTTGGTTGTAGGGCTTGAACTCTGGGCCTGGGCGCTGTCTCTCAGCTCTTCAGCTCAAAGCGAGTGCTGTACCACTTGAGCCACAGCACCACTTCTGGTTTTCTGGTGGTTAATTGGAGATAAGAGTCTCATGGACTTTCCTGCCTAGGCTGGCTTTGAACAGTGATCCTCAGATCTCAGCCTCCTGAGATTACAGGTGTGAGCCACCAGCGCCTGGCCTGATGATCACAGTTTGAAGCCAGCCAGGCAGGAAAGTCCAAGCTCTTATGTCCAATTAAGCACCAAGGGGCTCAAATGGTAGTGTGCTAGCCTTGAGCACAGAAGCTCAAGGAAAGCACCTAGAACCTGAAGTCAAGCTCCAGAAGGGCACACACAAAACAAAAGTGACACAAGTGGTGGCACACTAGTCAAACAATCAAGCCAAGAAGTATGAAAATTAATTCACTAATTCATCAAAAAATTCATCAGAATATACAAGCAGCTTGAACCAGGCTTGCACAATTTCATGTCTTTTTCATACCACAAAGGTCCAAGAAGGTAATACTGGGAAAAACAGAACAAAACCACATATCTCCAAGTAGACCCTCTGAAACCTAAAACAGTATTATTCTACATACATGCCATCGTGAATAATTAAAAAGTTGACTCAGCAGGCTATCTTGTTTGTTCATATGTAATGCAGGTCAAATTCTGTTCAAATCAACTTAGGAGAGAGTTCGCATAATGTGATTATACCGGAGTCTCACCCAGCACCAGAGCTGTGTGAAACTACAGCTCTGAGCTTGACGTAGTGATGCAGAAAGGCGTTCATTGCATACCGATTTCCCTTCCAGCCCTTTTGTGGCCTTTGTCAGATCCAGTTTCTGTGTGTGAGTCAGCCTCATAACTCTAGGCTTTAAAAAAGCAGCATGAGCCACAAATTTAGAATCCGCTATATTTTTCACCTACGGCAATTTTTTTTTTTAATCAAAATTGGCTCAGGAAAATGGGGGGAAATCTGACTGACTATTCTGCCCTATTGGGGACCCTTTTAGCCCCTGAGCCCCTTGGTCATCTGTCTTTCAGCAATAAGTACAGTGCCTCGTAGTCACAGCCAGTTAACTATGTCCTTGGTGACAAATCCTCCTGACACAATTGGTGAGAAGTTATCTCAATATAAAGGACATTTAAAATGTGGCCTTGCTTCAATATTACAAGATTTCAGAAACTTGACACTTTATCTGTATTTATACATTGATCAGATTCATTCTTTTTATTACTCTGCCTTTTCCCCATCTTACCTCCTCCACATTTTTTAGCATTTCAAAAACTAGAAATCAACACCCATAAAAGTGAAGATTTAGCATCCCATTAGCATAGTATCCTTCATAATTTTCAGAAATAGTCAAATAGGTATTAGAACATTCATCAGTTAATCAATGTATAAGTGATGCTACATGAAATGATCAATATAAATCAAACTTGAATAGAACTGACACAAACACTTCCAAATACATGTAAGTCAATAATAATTTAGAGTATCTTCAGGGTACACAAATAAACTCTTACAGGAATAAGACACACAAATAAAGTCCTAGCTGAAACTAAATTAGGATTATTGACTAAAAAGTAAACCACAAGAGGGGCTGGGAAGGTGGCTCAGTGGTAGAGTGCTTGCCTTGCATGCATGAGGCCCTGGGTTCAATTCCTCAGCACCACATAAGCTAAAAGAAAAAAGCCGGAAGTGGCGCTGTGGCTCAAGTGGTAGAGCGCTAGCCTTGAGCTGAAGAGCTGAGGGACAGCACCCAGGTCCAGAGTTCAGGCCCCAAGACCGGAACCCCCCCCCCAAAAAAAAGTAAACAAGACCGTTACCTCCCTCCTAGTTTAAAACTGGCTGCCAAAAACAGCAGTGCCTAGAGATGGCCTGATATCATAAAATGATGCAATCTAGCATGTGTTAAGTTAAATGGCTTTTGAAAATGACATGATGTTGTCTTGGTTTGAAAAGGGTCTTTGATGGAACACACAGCTTTGATGGCTACTCCAATGCCACGAGGAAGCACAAGATCAAGGCCTCTCATCACCCAATCCAAATCAGCTAGATGGCTCTCCACAGGTTTCCTAGGTGCTTACAGAAGTGAGGCCATAGAGCAATGCTCAGAGCTGCGGCATTCTTCCTTCCTTTATGGTTGCATCCCTGCAGGTTGGCTGCTTTACAGAACAGCATTGAGTAAGAAGCTAAGGAGTGAGAGACATGGTGTCTCCCTGCCAGATTTCCCATGGCATATGTAACAGCTGTAGCCATTAGGCAGCCACCAGGGGGACATAGTTAGAGCAATGTCCCAAGAAGAAGACCTGGGTATGGCAGCTGCTCCACCAGACACCAGCCAGGACAGCAGGAAGGGCTCCAGCTCACATCCGTCCAGCACCACAGTGTGGCAGCTAGCTTCTGTGCCACGCCCCCACCCCCACCCATCCCCATACACATACACACATTTGATCAGCCAATTTCACAACTCAGGCTTGACAAGGAAAAGGCAGTGTCTTATAATAATGATTCATTCATAAAAATCCTATTTATAGAACTGGAACTGGCTTTAAGAAATCCCTTCCTATATCAAGTAATCCGTGAGAATACTGAGAGTTGAGACACTACACATGGATCTCTGTATATCAAGAGATACCCTGTGAAAAGATTTAGACTAACCTATGGAATGCATCAATGTAGTAAAATCATATTTTCCCCCATACTTTTAATTTAACAGGGTCACCTAAGAAAGAGATACTAAATTTCATTCAAATCATATGTAAAAAAAAAAAAAATAGGAGCTGGGAAGGTGGCTTAGTGGTAGAGCACTTGCCTTGCATGCACGAGGCCCTGGGTTTGATTCCTCAGCACCACATAAGCAAAAAGAAAAAAACCGGAAGTGGTGCTGTGGCTCAAGTGGTAGAGCGCTAGCCTTGAGCTGAAGAGCTGAGGGACAGCGCCCAAGCCCAGAGTTGAGGCCCCACGACCGGACCCCAAAAAATAAATAAATAAATGAAAATTTAAAAATAAAAAATAAACATAGGCAAAACATGAGGCTAAACCCTGATTTTAACTTTAAAAGCCATTTAAAGAAATGCTTACAGTACAATTGTATTCATATCTGTTAAATTACTTTATATGATGAAACAATCACAAATTCTATTCATTCCTCTTTAAAATACAAAAATACCTCTATTTCTTTACTTTTATGAAGAAAATCCTCTTTTCAGACAAGACTACATCAGTACATAACCTTCCCTATGAGTGTGACAGACCGTGATTTTGGAGGAAAGACTCCAATTCTTATCTTGAAACTACCGATACACTAGGCATGAATCTGCTTTGAAATAACAATTACTTGAAAGTTGAAATCACAAACATTACTTGAGCAGCATGAGTCATGGGAACAAAAGATGATTCATGAAAGAAGCCAGAGGGAGAGGTGGGAATGTGGTTTAGTGGTAGAGTACTTGCCTAGCATGGGTTTGAGTCTTCAGTACCACATAAACAGAAAAGGCTAGAAGTGGCGCTGTGGCTGTAGAGTGCTAGCCGAGAGCAAAAGAAGCTCGGGGACAGTGCCCAGGCCCTGAGTTCAAGCCCTAGGACTACCAAAAAGCAAAAAATGGAAATCCAATTAAACCTCAACCATCAAGTGTATCCAAGTGTAGATATCACCTTCCTTTTTACAATTTGAGGAAGCTACCATATTAAAAACAGTCACTCTTAAGTCACTCATAACTTTTATGCATTTATATTTCAATCATAACTAAGTTTTTTGGTGCTGATACTGGAGCTTGAACTCTGGGCCTGAGTGCTGCCTCTGAGCTTTTATACTCAACGCTAGCTAGTGCTCTACCACTTGAGGCACACAGCACCACTTCCAGCTTTGTGTAGTTAATTGAAGAGAAGAATTTCATAGACTTTCCCATCCAGGCTGGCTTTGAACCACAATCCTCAGTTCTTAGCTTCTTGAATAGCTAGGATTACAGGCATTAGGTACCAGTGCCCTGCTTCAAAACTAATTTTTAAAAAACTACACCTTCTTAATTCTTAGTACTACTGTATAGCTTAACTTTTTCCATGTTAATAGGTGAGATATATTATCCTTTATACTCTTGTTTTCTGTTTCATTGATAGTTGATATTATGTCTTCATTAGGATAACATTTATATATAACTTGCTTCATAAAAATGATTTTAAAAAAAAAAGCATTCTACCCCATTCTCAGTACTCATGCTATTCAACTATAAACTTTCTGTATGCTGAAACAAAATACAAGTCCTTTGTTAAAGCCCAAATTATCTTCTGTCATACTATATCCTTATATAGGGATAAATGGTTTACAAAATGATGCTGAAATTTCAAGACTCTCAATATAAATTAAATTTTCTTCACTGTTTTTCATGTGCCTCATAAGTGACAGTACCTCTGTTTTTAATGACAGTCCACTGTTAAAGAATATTGTGGCAACAGCAATGTAGGATACGGTTATTTCTGGCTTCAGTGGCCCTAAAAAGAGAAAGAAAAAAAGGAGTTATTGTTTGTAAGGAGTCTGCAGTAAATAACTTGGTATGCAAGAGGACTGTATTGGAGGAGAGTAGATGTTATAAACAATGCTTGATAAGAAATGTACTCATTACCTTGCTCATGTAATTGTAGCCCCTCTGTACGGTATTTTCACAATTAAAAAAAAAAGAGTTAAAGAAAAAAAATATTAACAGTGTCTACATTATTAACAGAGTGTCCTATGGCCAGAGTTCATCATTTGCTGTGATGCAGCCTAACTTGAAAGTGAAAGTCCTTGATGATTTTCAAGGGTAAGGAGCAGGACTGTCCAGAAGAATAAAAGAGCTCAAGTAAGCAACAGTATCCAACCCAGGTCCTAAGCACATCTAACTAAGTGACTTCTCCATCAAAATATCTCCAGGTAGTGAATGAAGTGGCCTTCTCTGATTTGACAAATGGTATCTTATTTCTTCTAGAACAGAAAGATAGACAGATAGACAGACGGACAGACAGAAAGAGGACTAGGAAGGTGGCTCAGTGATAGAGTGCTTGCCTTGCATGCATGAGGCCCTGGGTTCGATTCCTCAGCACCCCATAAGGAGAAAAAGCCGGAAGTGGTGCTCAAGTGGTAGAGCACTAGACGAGCTGAAGAGCTGAGGGACAGCACCCAGGCCCAGAGTTCAGGCCCCACGACCAACACAAAGAAAGAAAGAAAGAGAGAGAGAGAGAAATTCACCTATGTATTCAGTTCTTCCAAAAAGTACTATGTTCTAAGTATTTACTATGTGGATGAGATGCTTCACATAGAATACCTGAAAATATACTACTGTGACTATAGTGAACTCTGGGGACCCTGGGGTGACCCAGACAGGCCTGGCCCTGGGCTGACATCAGCACACACATTTTTGTGAGGACAACAGAGAAGAACACCCTGAAAAAGCATTATTTGCGACTTGTACACAATCAGCTAGAAAACGGAATGTGCTAACCAAAGAATCACCGTGCATTTAAAACATGAAATTCGGAGTCGCCTTTGGTTTTTTTGTTGTTGCTGTTTTTTAACCAGTGCAAGCAGCCAGTCAGTAGTAGAGGTAGCTACTGTGCCGTGTTTCCACTATGTATCTAGCAAAGGTTGGAAACTCTTTTTTGTCATAAGCTGGTGAGAAAGGTTTGCTCCTGCATCTAGTGTGCAAAGACCAGGAATTGTGCTAATCACTCTGGGAGGACACAACAGCTGCTCCCACACATTATCACATCCAAAATGTTCAAGTGCCCGGGGTGAGAAACACTAATATATACTAACATTTTAAATATGAGGTCATCTAATACTTGACATTCTACCCAACCCTCTTGAACTGGATTGAGTAATGTTCTCCCAGAATTTACACTCACCAGATAATCGTAAATGTGGCTTTATTTTGGAAATTGGATCATTGCTTGATATAACAAGTTAAGATCTTATTGGATTATATACTAGTTACTAACTCAGTAACTGGTTGTTTGGCTGGCTGGTTGATCAGTTAATTGCTTGGTTTATGGTGGGGGGGGGGGGGGGGGGGGACTGACCCCAGGTCCTTGTGCATGCTTAGCAAGAACTCCACCACTGTGCTGAAACCCTGGCCCCAATCACTGTATTCTCACAAGAGGAAAATTGGCTTGCAGTCACACAAGGTCTTGGACTTCAGTGTCCTATAGAAAAAGCATGCTGTGTTCTGGGAATGTAACTGGATGGCAGAGCTTGTGCTCAGCATGTGTGAGGCTCTGGTTTCAATCCCAGGATCCCAGCAAAGAAAGGCAGGCAGGGAGGGAGAGATGCTGACTTAAAATACTTGGTAAGTTCCCTTCAGCTCTTAGCATGCTACTTCTATTCTTTCCGAATTAGCAAAAGCACTTGGAGCTATCCTATATTTATACCATCAGAGCCAGTGGAAACAGGAAGCAAGATTTCTAAGACACAATAATATGACAAAACCTCAGCAAGCATAGTCCAAGAGAACAAACAAGATGACAGAATAGGTGTCAAAGTAGCTCCTTGGAGGAAGTCCCAGGAAGTGATTTCACCACTCAGCAGCACTGCCAAACCACACCACAGGCAATCCAGTTCCTTTAGTTACTTTGCTGACAGGGCCTCCAGCTCTTGCCTAGGTGGGCCTCACACCTTGATCACACCTATGGCCACCCGTGTAGCCGGGATTAACACTCTCAGCTTTCATTTTTACTGAGTACTCAACTCTGGGGACAGGGTGTTCTTTATTTGACAGAACTGAAATGACCGATTTTTCACAACTTTCCCAAAAGCTCCCAGAGAGAGCTGTGTCAAAAACCAAACGAACTTGTGATTTCTGTGTCATCGAGAATGTGTCTAGTCCAACAAAACGCTTTCAAGGCCTAGATCTTTGTTAAAATAACTAAACTTAAAACGTTTCCAGAAGCTACTTCTTAGTGAAAGAACAGGGAAGGAGGAGCCACTGATTCCCCCTGGAGCTCTTTTCATTCATTTCCAGCACCAAGTCAGCAAAAAGACACAACATTCAGACATAGGAGCTTCCTGCTCTACAAAAATATGGTGTGTCAGGAGCCAGGGCCAGAAGATCACTGATGGGAAGTCAGTCGTGGCAAAGTTATGGGAGACTCTTCGTTCTTTGGACAAGATGCACATAAAAAGGAGCTGGCTCAGCAAGTGGGGTGCTTGCCTTACAGGTAGGAGACTCTGCCCAAAGATGACGGTGTGTGTGTGGTGTAGATTCTCTTCTGCCTGCCCTGCACTACCGAGCTGTTCAGTCCCCCAAGGCGTAAACTTTACCAGCAAGGCCTGAGAGAGAGAGGGCAGAAATTCCACCCTTGCTTCAGAGAAGCAGGACCAGGCTGTCTAAAGTTGGGGGGAGGTGCAAGGGGTTAATGGTACATGCAGGGCCCCACGGGTGTGAGGGGGGTGTCACAAAGCTCCTACTGTCCAGCAACTGCTAGCTACACCTCTGTGCACACACACACACCCACACCCACACCCACACAGCTGCCAGCCGGCAGCGCTGTCCTGTATGGAGGAGTGCAACGTGTCACTCCTGCATGGAGGGGGCGGTGCCTGCAGACGCTGACCTCCAACTCCCCACCCCGGCCCCCCAGACCCAGGTGGGGACAGGCAGGGGCCCCTCTTCCTGATTTTTTCCCCCACCTAGACCTTTCTGGTGTTTTATGGATTCTTTACCACGGAGGGCGGGAGGAGTTGGAGACACCCTGAGACAATGAGGTCCCCACCGGGACACCGGCAGGCTTTCCCAGACAGCCAGGGTCCTGCGCCTGCATGCTGCTGACAGCCGGGGGACTAAGCTCCAGGATTGACTCCTGGTTGGCATCTGGAGTCCCCTGGGATGAGAAGGCTGCTCTGGGAGCCGGAGTACTAAGGTCCAGTACTCCCCATTGGCAACCTAGAGTCCCCTGGGAAGAGGAGGCTGCTCTGAGAGATGGAGGACTAAGCTCCAGTACTCCAGGGTGCCCACTGGAGTCCCCTGGGAAGAGGAGGCTGCTCTCTGAGAGGCAGAGGACTAAGCTCCAGTACTCCTGGCGGGCACCTGGAGTCCCCTGGGATGAGAAGGCTGCTCAGGGAGCCGGGGGACTGAGCTCCAGTACTCCTGGCGGGCACCTGGAGTCCCCTGGGGAGAGGAGGCTGCTCTGGGAGCCGGGGGACTGAGCTCCAGTACTCCTGGCGGGCACCTGGAGTCCCCTGGGATGAGAAGGCTGCTCAGGGAGCCGGGGGACTGAGCTCCAGTACTCCTGGCGGGCAGCTGGGGTCCCCTGGGAAGAGGAGGCTGCTCTGGGAGCCGGGGGACTGAGCTCCAGTACTCCTGGCGGGCACCTGGGGTCCCCTGGGAAGAGGAGGCTGCTCTGGGAGCCGGGGGACTGAGCTCCAGTACTCCTGGAGGGCAGCTGGGGTCCCCTGGGAAGAGGAGGCTGCTCTGGGAGCCGGGGGACTGAGCTCCAGTACTCCTGGCGGGCACCTGGGGTCCCCTGGGAAGAGGAGGCTGCTCTGGGAGCCGGGGGACTGAGCTCGGTCTGGGTTAACAGCTGGGCGCGGAGGGCAGCGGCGGACAGCTGCAGGGAAGGGGCCGGGACTCGAACCCGAGCTCGTCCCAGCTAATCCCGCGCCGCCCCGCGCCCGCACTCACCCCCGTTCACGCCCACCGACGGCCGCAGCTTGGCGCCGGCGATGGCCACCACGATGCCCACCAGGAACCAGTCCTTGCGCAGCCGCTCCGCCAGCCTCATGCTGCCCCGGCGGGCGGGCTGCGGGGCTCCGCGGGCCTCGCCTCCTCCTCAAGCCGCGCTCGCTCGAGCCCCGGGGCGTCTCCACGCGGCCCGCGGCGCCCCCGGACATGCAGCGGGGCGAGTCCGGCGGCCGCGGGCGAACTGAAGCCCCGCGGGCGGCTCCCGCGGCGCGCGGCGCGGCTGGAGTACTAGTTACCCCGTGACGGGAAAGTCGCACAGAGCGCCGCCATCACTACCACGCAGCGCCGAGCAGACGCGCACCGCCTCCCAGGCGAGCCTGACACCGACGCGGGACCGACGGCGTCGGAGCGGCAGGGAAGGGGACAGCACCGGCCGGCTCTCCTCTGCGCTGCCGGGAGCCGGGAGCCTTGGATCTCTCTGTGGGACATGCGCGGGCGGGGTCAGGGGGGAGCGGGGAGCGTATTCTCGTGCGCTCCTCTTCGGAGCGTTACGGCGCTTCCCGGCGCGGACGCTGACGTAGCGGGGGGGGGGGCGGGAAACCACTTGTGCGCGGGTTCGCGGCGGGAGCGGCCGCGGGGTGTGCGGGGCCTGGGCCCCGGGCGGGACGGGAGAAAGGGTGGGCCCCGCCTTCCGCGTCCGCCGCCGTCGGGAAGGCTGCCCCGGCCGGGTGGGCCGCCCACGGGGCGGGCGGGGAGGCGGGTGGCGTGGGGAGACCCCCCCGCTCCGGGAGGGAGGCCGAGGCGGCTCCCACGGGCGGGGCGGGGCGGCCGGGCGCGGACAGTTCCCCGAGGGCCCGCCTGACCCCCCCCACGGCGAGCTCCCCCGCGTCCCGGGCTCTCCGCGGCGGCCGGGACCCGCCTCCCGCCTGGCGAGCGTCCCCGGGCGGCCCGCGCTGAGCCGCGGCCACCGCGCAGAGGGCCGCCCCGGACCAGGGAACTTACCGGAAAAGCACGGCTGCCTTAAACCGTTAACCCGGAGGAGGGGGAAGAGGAGGGAGGGACGAGGAGGAGGGGAGGAAGAAAGGGGGGGAGGAGGAGGAAGGGGAAGGGGGAAGATGAGGGAGGACCGGGAGGAAGAGGAGGAGGGGGAAGGGGGAAGAGGAGGAAGAAGAAAGGAGGGGGGTAGGAGAAGGGGGAAGAGATGGGAGGGGGAGGGGGGAGGAGGAGGAAAAACTTGAATGTGATTTAAAAAAAAATAATAGGCCGTTAATTATAAGGCCCTCCAAGGCAAGTTACCTAAAACAGTTTACAAGTACTTTCTTCTAGTAACTTCCTCGGATAAGGAATCACGTTTGAGTCATTGATAGGATGACTTTACATTAAAAACTGAGTGGTTTTAACTTTGTGTCTGTTCACCAACTCTTACTAATTCTACTACTGTTGTTTAGTGCAGTCTAGCTCATAGGAATCTTGTTTTTTCATGGTAGTTAAAGGAAAGTACCGGTCTGGAACTTTTTGTCCACTCCCCACTTGCAGGGAGGGGAGAGGAGCTGGAGATCGAGTTAATCAATCATGCGTGTGTAATGAAGGCTTTATGAAAATAATAATGGAAGGCTGGAGTTGTGTCTTGCCTAGCAAGCTCAAGGCCCTGAGTTCAAAACCCCAGTACTGTGGGTAAGTTGCTGAGCCTATCCATATGCCAAGAAGGTTGTTAAACCCAATTCCATAGGGACAGAAGCTCCCATCCCAAACTTTATCCCATGTACCTCTTCATCTGCTTATTCATGTGTGTAAGTATTCTGTGTAATAAATCAGCAATAGTAACGAAGGATTTCTGTGAGCTATTCTAACAAATTCAAATGTAGGGCTTAACATGTAGGAACTCTTATCTCCAATAAACTCAGAAAAAAAGAAAAAGGGAAAAAAAAAAAAACCAAGTGGTCCAGGGGCTCAAGTAAGGGGTAAAGCACTAGCCACGAAAAAGGATCCTCAAAGACAGTGCCCAAACTGAGTTCAAGCCCTAGGACAGGCCAAAAAAAAGACCCACAATTGTTTAAATGTGTAATCTTGATTATTGTCAATACTTAGATTGGTAAAGCACATGTTTTGGTGTATCTGTGCAAGTATTTAGATGAGTAGCTGAGGGGGAAAGACTCTCCCTGGATGTGAATGTATGTTCCAGTATGCTGGGAACCAAATGTATCCAAAGAGGAAGAAAAGCCCAGTAGCCAAGACCAACTACAAACTCACTGCTTCCTGGCTGTTAATAGGTGAACAGCTTTTCTTTACCCATTTCCTCCATAGTTATTCTGCCTTGCACAGGCCTAAAAGCAGTGATGCCAGTTGACCATGCACAGAAAGCAAGCTCCAACACTCTTAAACGCTGAAAATTCAGAAAGGAAGAAAATCTGGATAGTTGACATGGTTAGACTTCTGAAAGCAGACCCAGAACCACAAGAATTGTGACTCAATATTCATTCACCTTGTCTCCTAGTGGTCCTCAACTCTGTCATTCACCCAACACTGTTACCTCATTTTACAGATGTCAATAGAGCAGTGCCCATTTCTTTGCAAAGTTAATTCTGCTCCTTGTGCCCTGCACAAACCCTGCATTTCTGGCCCTATCTTGTTCTGCCTTCTGCCCCCAGAATCTGGGCCAGCCTTTGGTAGCGGTGCCCTCATAGGGGCTGAGATCCATCTCTGATTACTCACCAGTAGCACACCTCCCTCTCCTGTCCACTGGCATTTGATTTTAGTTAATCAGAGATAAGAGTCTCATGAACTTTCCTCCCCTGGTTGTCTTTGAACTGTGATCCTCAGATCTCAGCCTCCTGGGTGGCTAAGATTATAGGTGTGACCCACCAGAGCCCAGTTGAAAAATATTTTTATACTAATATTGTTAGCTCCAAAATGCTACCTGGAAAGGAAATGCTGACTTCTATTCTTGTGTTTCGAATAGAGCAAAAGATAAAGATGCACAGTGGCTTTGTCAGTTCTACCACTGCTTGCATAATTTGAAGACATATTGTAGCTAGCTAGCTAATTTCCCAAATAAATATCTGGAAGTGTACTTCTCTGAGCATTGTTAAAACGCTTTACCGAGATAGAGTACTCTTTTCTTCGTGGATATTACCTCTCCCTAGAACGCCTCACAAACTCCTATTAAGCAGTTATGAAAATCCCGAGTCAGATACGGGGAGCCATGTTTTACATTAGGGTAGTAAGTGCCACCGCTTCCCTTTCCTCTGCACAGGAATTTAGGCCCTTAGATTCTATTGTATTTCTGTTAGCGAGAGTTATGCATGTAAGTTCCCTCAATTCAAATGCGATTATACCCTCTCCTCATGAATCAGGCCGCTTTGTCATCCTGTTAACCCACAGTGGGTGAATGTGTGTCTTTACAGAAGACCTTCTGCTCGGGTAGGTTTAGGAACTTCTTCATCTAATCATTTCCCAGTCTCGTAAGTGGAAATCTGTCTCGGGGAATTAAGGGGAAAGAGGAGCACAGACAGGGGTGGATGATAAGCGATTGGGAGGCACAGTAAATAATGGAGGGAAATGCAGCCGGGAGGAGAGGGGACATTTAGGGCTATTAGACGACAAATCCACTTCAATGCGGTTATTATACCTGTAAATATAGAAAAATGATAATGTTGACAACTCTTCATCACACGATCTGTGTCATTAATAAATGATGAAGGATAGAAAGAGCAAAGGAGGTAAAGCCAGTGCTGCCTAACAATATCACAGATGCTCTTGGGGAAGAAAAACAACTTGCTAAGCTAAAAACAAAGGCGCAGTTTGGTGCTGTTAATGAAGGAGGAGTGGGAAAAACAAAACTCAAAAACGCATGTGTATGTGGAAAATATTGTGAATGATAGAGGCTTTCATGTTTAAAATAGATAATTTTGCCCCATATTATCAAAAACTACATAAAATTATCTGGGTTTGGTTTGCTTTTTTTTAAATAGTGGCTTTTAGGGAGAAATAGTTCCTGCCTTCCATTAGGACAATACAAAATGATTTCTTACTTGGTGTTCCCAGGAGACACACCAAATATATTAAAATTCTTCAGAGGGAATTTTTATCTCTTCGCAGAAAATCATATACAACAGCTATTATCTGAGCAGCCTCTAAGGTGTGGTATTAACTAGAGTTACATGTCCAATTTAAGAAAGAAAAAAGATATAAAATATACCTGGATTACCAGATACCTGTGACTCACTCACACCTGTAATCCTAGCTACTCAGGAGGCTGAAATCAGGATCACAGTTCAGAGCCAGCTGCAGCAGGAAAGTCTGTGAGACTCTTATCTCCAATTAAGAACCCCTGCCCCCCCCCCAAAAAAAAGCCAGAAAAGTAACTATGGCTCAAGTGATAGAGCACTAGCCTTGAGGAAATAAAAAGGTAAGAGACTGTGGTCCAGGCCCCAATTCAAGGACCAAGACTAGCACACAAAAGCATACACAGCAGCTGGCACACACACACTGTATGTATGTTGTATTTATATATATATGTATATATGTGTGTGTATATATGTGTGTATGTATATATGTGTACATATATGTGTGCATATATATATACATATATATAGCCCTCTGTGTCTAATTTGGAGGATATGTAAGTTCATGAAGCTCCTAAAGGCTGCAAATTTCAACAAATGGCCTGGGCTGCATGCTGGAGGGCTGAGAAGTTACAATGAGCAGTAGCAATCCAGGGCAGTCTTCAAATCTACCCCTTTTGCTTTCATAATAGAACCCCTGATTCCCACTGGGCAGATAAAGCTTCCAGCTAGATAAAGACTACCATGTCCTTTGAAGCTAGCAAATAATGGATCATGTGACCAAATCCCCTAGTGAGATCATACTATCCAAAAAAGCCAAAACATCACTGCAGTTTTAGAGGGGAAAAGCTGCAGCTCTGAGAGTCCCAACAAACTAGGCTTGTCACTCGCCCAATATACCAATTAAAGCAATGAATAATGGTGGACATGCATAGAAAGATCCATTGAAAACAGTCATGCTGGGAAGAGCGTGCTGGGGTACAGTGACCCTAAGTCTATCTCTGGGGAACTGACATGAGCCTTAAGTTTAAACAGAGGAAGGAACGGGGTAGTGGCCAAGAGGTATACATACTCAGCAGACTTGGTCTGATTCAGCTCTTCATCAGTGTTCTGG